CTGAATAAATAAATGACAAAGTATATATTTTCATCTCATTTGTTTGATTGGGTTCTCTTTGTCTACTTTCAGGACTTGCTTGAAAATCTGATTTTCTTTTAGGATATATTTATACAGAAATATAGAAAATTCTAAAGGGTTCACAGACTTTCAAGCAGCACTGACACACACACACACACATATACATACGTATATATATATATATATATATATACATACATACATACATACATATATACATATATATATATATATACATATATATACACATACACACATATATAAGGTACGGTGGCCGAGAAGTGCAAAGCAAATCACAATTCTGAACCTGGGTCGATCGCGTCAAAAAGCCAACAGCAAGCGCTTATCCATCTGCGCTACTGGAGCTGATGTTTTACAGCTACTTTTAACTAAATGTAAATAGACACCCCGTATTTTTTATTCCAGAGTAAGGGCAATTCATACAATACATTTAAACTGAGCTACTTTAATACCATCTCCGAACTTTCTACCACGACTCTGCTGTTCTTCGGCTGGTTCTTCCCTGTATACGTTGATTGACAGATGTCTCGTCCAGTCAGCGGTGAGTCATCCCAAACCAATGGCGCTGTCTCAAACTATACCTACCGCTTCCGGTTTGTCTGATTCGTCGTTGTGTTTTCTGACTTGTAAATTTGTTTTGTTCCGTAATAAGGGCTGTCAAATCGATTAATCGCATCCAAAATAAAAGTTTGTTTACATAATATATGTGTGTGTGTGATTATAACATCACCTACATATATGCACTACAAAAAGTTTGGGGTCAAACTTTTTTTTTTTTTTAGATTTTTGCATGTAATTAAAATTACGCTAACATTGTGAACTATTATTACAACTTAAAACAACTTTCCTATTTTAACATTTTAAAATATGTTAAAAAGTTATTCCTGTGATGGCACTGCTGAATTTTCAGCAGCCATTACTCAAAACATTAGTCTTCAGTGTCACATGATCTTTCAGTAATCATTCTAATATGCTGATCTGGTGCTCAAGAAACATTTCTTATTATCAGTAATGTTGAAAACATTTGTGATGCTTAATATTTTTATGGATACCATGATACATTGTTTTAGGATTTTTTGATAAATAAAGTTCAAAACAGTCTCTACTGTCACTGTTCATTTCAATTTAATGCATCCTTTCTGAAGAAAAGTATTAATTTTTCAACAAAAAAAAAAAAACTAGCTTGAGTAACTATAAGCTATATGACTTTTTACCTGGTGTCAAATCCCCTGACAATGGCACCCATAGCACGGGCAGAGCCAGCAGCGGCCAACCCAGCCACTCCACCTCCAATGATCAACACCTGCCAATATGAACAGCCTTTTTAGAATTCAGACTCTGAAATAAACAGAAAAATCGAACTTGGGAAAGTATGAACAGTGCTAATATCTTCATCCAAGACTTAATGTGAGAAGTGTACGGCAATGAAACAAGCAAACTCCACTCAAATAAAAATAAAAACCACTCAGGACGTGAGTGCGGTTATGCCAACTCTACCTTAGCAGGAGGGACCTTCCCTGCGGCTGTGATCTGACCAGTAAAGAAGCGGCCAAAGTTGTTGGCTGCCAGGACCACGGCTTTATAGCTGCCAAGAAAAACAGACGCACATCAGTCACAGCTGCTGATGAGGCAGGAATTAAGACACTTTACGCTGGCCACAGATATCACATTTGTTGACACTAATTCAACATTTCGGTTAACGGGTCACAGAAGATTGGCCTGTGAAGTCTATTTGTCTAGTATCTCCCACTAAAAATAAATAAATAAATAAATAAATAAAAAATACAAAATACATTTAGGCAAGACACCACAGGTGAATAGGGTCATTTTTTTAACTAATATACATCATTATACTTTTTCAATTAATTATAGGACATTTTATTTTGTATTCCAAGTTCTGACATGTTATACATTTAAATATGAGGAACTAATTAATAAAAAAAAAAAATGCACTAGTTTGCACTTTGCACACATTTCCAGAACAGAAAAATGTAAAATTCAAAATTCTTGTTTCATTTTGTTAACATATTAAAGCTAAAGGTTTACAGTGGGGATTCGGATTTTGGATCTTTTTCTAAAGTAAAGTAAAGTAAAAAACTGCCTTTAAAGCAATGCATTGTAAATGAAATCTACATATGTGACCCTGAACCACAAAACCAGTCATAAATCGCACGGGTATATCTGTAGCAAAAGCCAAAAATACATTGTATGGGTCAAAATTATTGATTTTTCTTTTATGCCAAAAATCATTAGGATATTAAGTAAAGATCATGTTCCATGAAGATATTTTGTACATTTCCTACTGTAAATATATTAAAACTTAATTTTTGATTAGTAATATGCATTGCTAAGAACTTTATTTGGACAGCTTTAAAAACGATTTTCTCAATATTTTAATTTTTTTGCACCCTCAGATTCCAGATTTTCAAATAGTTGTATCTCAGCCAAATATTGTCCTATCCTAACAAACCATACATCAATGGAAAGCTTATTTATTCAGCTTGCAGACTATGTATAAATCTCAATTTCGAAAAAATGTACCCTTATGACTGGTTTTGTGGTCTAGGGTCACATATATAAATATATAAAGTGTAATGAAATAAACACTTAAATGTTTATTTTGAGTGGTTTATTTCCACTAATCTGAAAGAAGGCATGTTATGGAATCAACATTGCCCAAAAATCTCTAAACTGACCAGTGCAAAAACAATGGTTTTGCCTGTAGTGTATTGACTTAAAAAATGATAATAAGTACTATTGTTAATATAAGTATTATTGTCATTATATAACAATATATTTAAAAAAATCATTAAACAAAAATGGTCAATTACTGAATTATAAAAACATTCATACATTGATACAAAATGCTTTGTATCATTTAAAAAAATAGGTTGGCTAGCCTTATGCATTTTTTTTTGCTTTAGATGGACTTACCCAGCAATGTTGGCCATGGAGCTGAGGGCGTCATAACCCTGAGCAATAGTAACACGGGGCACCTGGTCCATGGCCAGGACGGTGGCTTTGCGTTGGGACAACTGGTCCATCAGCTCAGGGTTCTGAGCAGGATAGATGAAACTGACGAGGGTGGCTCCTTCACTCATGAGGTCGGCCTCATGAACTCCCAGAGCGGAGTTCAACACGGGGGCACGCACCTGTAGCAAACGGCCAGAGAGAATGAGAGCTGATGAAGACTCAGCTAAGTGAAGGTAAAATGAATGAATCTAACAGTACCTTAAGCAGAACATCAGATGCAAAGACATCTTTGACGTCCCTGATGGTGGCTCCTGCCTTTGTATACATGTCATCAGAGAACTTGGCAGATTCTCCAGCGCCAGACTCCACCACCACATTAAAGCCCTGCTTGATGAGAGCTTCCACTCCAGCTGGAGAGATGGCCACGCGCCGCTCATTCTGAAAGATTTCCTTGGGAATGCCGACAGTTAGCTGTTTGTATGGAATGCCTGCAAAACAAAACAGGGAATCCCAGAATCAACCAGAGCCTGGAGAGGAACTTATTACTAAGGCCCAATCCCAATTCTACCCCTTAGCCCTTCCCCTTAGCTAGTCCCCCCAATAATTATAAATCGCTAAACCCTTTTCTCAAATATTGCCAATTCGAGAGAGAGAGAGAGAGAGCGAGAGAAAGAGAGAGATGAAAGTTGCGTGTATGCGCGTCTGTGCGTTTCTCTTTTTAGAGTGAGTTTACTTCAAAAACAGCAATTTTATCCTCTCGTTGCTGGAAAATATAATGTAGCGATTCAGTATTTAAACCGTTATTAATAAAAGTGGTGGGGCAGCATTGACAAGTTTCTTTTCTCCTGGATGTGTGAGCTGCGCGATCTCCAGTATATGTGTGTGTGTCAGTAAGCAGCACATTAATATAGAACGGTAATTAAAGGCTCTAATGCACACCAGCACACCAGTATAGGTGTGTGTATGTAGGAGGTAGGACAACGTATGATGATGTGTGACGTATAGTAGTGGTGTCTCAATTCTTAGGGGAATATTTTCACCCCTACCCCCTTGACAGTTTCAAGGGACAAGGGGAAGAGGTAGGGGAAGGGGTATAAAATATAATTGGGATTGGGCCTAAATGTGCATGCCAAATGCAAAAGTTCAAAAGGTGGGTCCTGCACCAGCAGAGCAAATGCCATTGAGATTAACGGGAATGATAACGAATAGTTTTCTCGAGGTACTATGAGAAATGCAGGTTTCTGAGTTCATGTTTAAGACAACTTAGCTTAGTAATTAAATAGTTAGAAACAATTAATAAGCATAAATATTCACATTTTATTTTAATTATAATATAAAATAATTATAAATAAATGCTATTTTATTTATATGGATATAATTAAATGTTATATTTCATTCTAACAATTATCATACAATCATTAGTCATTAGATTTTAGTAGTTTTAAATCTAAAGTATTTTACTCTATTTTTACATGTTGTTTTAAAATAAAGTATTAAAGTATTTTTACACATTCAATTTCACACATTATATACTATATAATTATTATAGCTTATTTTTTTAAACAAAATAAAAAATATTTTATTTTCTGTTGTATAGTAAAAATCTTTACATTGTATTATAATTGTGTTATGTAAGAACACTTTAGATTATTTTTCATTATTAAATTGTAATTTTATATGCTACAAAATAATTACAAATTCTTTAGATTAAAAAAATAGTACTAAATTACTAATATTTAATGTCTGAAAATTAGATTTTTATTTTAAAATTACAACACTAGCAACAACTCATATTGTGATTCTTTATATCTTTAAAATGTTCACCTTTTTAGTCGGCAACATGAAATTTGACTCAATCCTCAGACAAATTTTCTGTTTAGAGAGCCTAGTACCACAGAAACAAATTGAAGTGTGAAAAGCTGATCTCAGGCTGCTCTCATGGCCAATATCGCTTTAGACCATTTCTAACTGTGCAGATTCTCCATTCTGAACTCAAGGATAGGTCAAAGAGAAAAGCAGTACAATAAAGATGAGTCAGACTAACAACTGGTGAAGCAGTTCATAAAAGATCAATGGGTGGTTAAAAAAAAATGTGTAAAATCTTTGAGACCTTTGTAATCGACTGTAGATCCATGAGGTCTCTGTAAGACTTGTGGTTTTACAGTAAAGCAAGTCTTTGTAGCATTGGAACAGCTCCAATTCTGCAGTCATAATTTCAAAAATATAACTGAGAATTCAAGCTGTAAAACAGAGCACGGCTGGGTTTTAGGATGTGTAATAATAAAGTAAATCAAGTTGAATTTTTATGCACAGCTTCATTTTGTGTGCTTTGGTCTGTAAAAGATGTGCAAACAACATGTGGTTTAGACAGGCTGAATATGCATCAAGAAGTCATCCAAGTCAAGTTCTGCTATTGGTAGCAGGAGGTCGCTTGTGGAAAATTCCACCACAGGCCTGATTTATATATATAACAACAACACAAGCTCACGTGAATCATAGACTGGACCTGGAGGCTGTTAAACTGGACCACTGAGAGCAAAGGCAACTCAAAAAGTATTTGGACACTTCAGCCATATGCAAATATGGCTGAAAAATAAATGAATATCATTGCATTAGATATCGAACCAATACAGACCAGTGGCATTTACTGTTACAAAAATGGCATTAAGTTGATGATTTTCTTTTGCTCTCTTGGAAACCTGCATTACTTTGATATTTTGTATCAATGCAATTAAATTTATGGTAGCATAAGCGTTCAAATATGTTTAAGGCCACTTTATGCCACCAAGTTCAAGTTTTACATTGAGTAATTAAAGCTATTTGATTAAAAACTTAACAGGACAACTTAAATCAGTTTTGCTTTCTGGCATATGCAAGGGCAATTCACTTTTTTGTTCTTGGTGAAAACATGTGACTATTTTATGACATGAGCATGCCAGTGTCAAATCTGACCAGCTTTATAATAATTACACATACTTCATAAAGAACTTAAAATACACACTACTGTTCAAGTCTGGGCTCAGTAAGATTTTACTTAAATGAAAAACATATATAAATACTTTTATTCAGGAGACATTAAACTGATCAAAACTGACAGTAATGACATTTAGAAATCTTTTGTAACATATTAGAATGATTTCTGAAGGGTCACGTGACACTGAAGACTGGAGCAATGGCTGCTGAAAATGCAGCTTTGCCATCACTGGAATAAATTACATTTAAAAAAAATAATAAAATAGAAAACCGTTATTTTACATTGTAATTATGTTTCACAATATTACTGCTTTTATTGTATTTTTGATCAAATGTAGCCTCGGTGAACATAAGAGACTTCTTTCAAAAGAATTTTAAAAATATCATACCGACCATAAACTTTTGAATGGTACTGTGCCAATAAATAAATACATAAATTAAACTAAAATATTTACTAAGTATATTTAATTGCTTTTTTTGTACTTCCAGATGTAAATGGAAACAAAGCGAATATCTGAGGCCCACAAACCCCTTATAACCAAACTGAATGCTGGCAGTCACCATAGACATGTGTTTCTTTTCCCAGCAGGCATTCTCCCGCACGAGCTGTGCCACAGTCCTGGTTCCTCAGCTGACACGGTGCCAGAAATAACCTGCCTCAGCTGTCATTACCATTCCTCCCCCTCTCAAAAAAACATCTGCAATTAATGGCAGATCTCCAACAAACGCTGTACCCAAGCAGCCAGTACGCTACACAGGTCACTTACAGTACACTCATTCATATCCGGAGACCTTCAATGCAGGTAATAGTGACAGAACAAGCAGGGGAGGGACACACTGACCTTGAGAGTCACTGCACATGGACTGCTACAGAAATATTAGGAGAAGAGTAGAAAGAAGTTTGGGAATGTTTCATTCACTTTTGTCATACTTTAAAACAAAATCTGCTGAGGTAAAACAACTTGTGTTTATGCATAAGCATAAGCGAACCATACTCAAGGTCTTTCAATATATACTGGGGGGGGGGAACATATCAAACATGATTTAATGTCCTCAACCACCTTGCCCGATTACTAAAACCGAATGTCTGAAACTAAATGCGTTATATAACAACTCAATATTCCAGCACGTTACCTGGACTTGCGAGGCGAGAGAGGGCTTGATGGGTCCTAAAGAACCGCACGCATGGTGTCTTCACTGTCCGGACACTCTTAGCACAGGCCAGCCTGGAGAACAGGGGGCTGGAACAGCTGGTGGCTACCACACGCAGAAGACTCGCCATCGGAGACACAAGGAGGAGCTGTGCAGTCGGAACGACCCTCCTCCTACATGTGAGGGAGACAGAGAGAGGGAAAAAAAAAAGTGAGCCGGCTGACCTATCCCATAATGCTCCACTCTGCCCCAGTCACTGCAGCGCAGTTGTTTACCCACCTCCAAGGTGACACACATATGCTCACAGTTGAGTTCACACAAGTGGGCGACTGTTAACTGGGCGTTAAGTCACTAAGTCCTCACATCTTCATAGAGTAAATATCAATACAATTTTTTTAAGAAATTAATACTTAAAGATACATTCAATTTAGCAAAAAGGATAAAGTAAAATGTGTCACAGTTTCTACAAAAAAAAAAATATCAAGCAGCATATTATGATCCTACATTGATAATAATAAGAATTGTTTGTTAAGCCTTGGTGAATTGGAAAAAATTGGAAAAATTGAAAAAAATTAAACATATATAACATATGTGAAATTTAGAAAATTGTAATTATAAAACAATTATTCAAAATTAACAATTTTGTTCAGATTTTGTAATTTTATTACACACACAAAAAAAACAACTACCAAACAACAATTGGTCTCAAACTAGCATTTTTAATAGCATTTCAAGAAAAAAGAAAAAAAAAAGTATATTTTGTTTCTATAGCTTTTCTTAATTATTCTTTATTATTCTCAATTATATCTACAGTTACCTACAGACTATTTGTAGCGACACGACACCGATCAATTAATCCACAGGGTGAAACAGTCAAGGTCACACTAAGGCAAACACAGAAATGTGTAGAAGTGTATTTGTTTAGGTAAGGTCTATCGCATATGAAGGTGATAAGGGTTTTTTCTGAGTGGGCCGGTGCAGGTCATACAGTAGCAGCTTACAGACAGGGGGCCTTTTAGGTACTTTATTGTCTACAACACCATAAACACTGTCTGCAAGTCTTCTCCAGAAAATACAAAATACATGAAAATAATCATTAAGGAAACTTCTAAAAACAAATCTCAGATAAAAATATTCTTTTTAGGGTACAAAATATTGCTAGTGTGAGAAAAAAATATTGTTTTGCAGCTTTTGATCAATTTAAATTAATTTTAAAGAATCATATTTTTTATAATATTGAATAGCATTATTCTATTAAAATTTTCTAAACATCATAATGACACTGACATATGATGTGATTTTAATTTTTAAATACTTATGTGGTCAAGACCTCTCAGGTAGGAAGTCTCACAATTTTAAGCGGTGATACAAGCATGAAGCATTTAAAATGAGCTGCTACATTTTATGTTAGCCAAATACTTTTTCAAACATATCTAGCAGGTCTCACAACAAAATGTTTAAAAGGGGCACCCAAAGTCTTGTGTATTCATGGAATGTGCCAGAAAGACTCAGTTTCCACTTATACACCAGTAGACACCTGTATAATTCTCCCTTTTTTTAGAGATGCATCCCACACATAAAAGCACTGCAGTGGTTATGCATGTACGAGGGCGTGGGAAACAATCAAATCACCATTTTAATTAAACGTGTGCAGACAGACTATTGGATTATGGTGCCAACTAGAATCTAATTCTAGCACCAGAGAAGTGACACAAGTCAGATGTGGGGCAACGTAACTTACGTTAACTTGAATCTATATACTACCAAGGTTTAGAAAATCACATTATTGAACATATGCGATGAGGAGGGATTAGGATAAAAAATAACGATGCTCGCCCTTGTGCCAAGAGTTTGTTATTGGGCAATGCAAAAGTCATTCATTCAAACAACTCAATGGCATAAGTCACGCAGAATTTCCGCATATATTTATAAACGCTTTAGCATATTTACATTCATATAATGCAGCTCAAGAACACCAGTCCTATTAATTCAAATCTGTTATCGCTACATCAAATGCATGCGTTTGCATGGTATATTTTCGGAAGAGCATTGCGGCTTCAGGGTCGGTGAGCCGACAGAAGGCGGGCACAAGCGCTCATTTCCCCTTCAATCCTTTTCGTAATACACTAGCTTGTTAGCTAAGTGTATGCATTTCCTGCGATCAAATGATAAGGTGGCGGAGATCGATAATGAGGAATTGAAATTCTCACCGAGCCGAGACAGAGAATCAATGAGCGACCTCTGAATGCGGGGACACCCAGCTTACAGCCGCCACCCGGAAGCACTCGCGCTCACCTCTATCTGCGCCGCTTCTGTGGTTTCATTCGGCCGTCAATCAACGCATGTAAATCAGTCATGTGCTGTGCGCGTTTGTTAACGAGATTTAACTGACATTCGTTTCTCTTTTGAATAACATAACTGGGCACAGTTTAGGGATAAAAAAAAATTTTTTCGACAACAACATTTAATTAAAAGACAAACAAAAAGTTTGTCGATGTGATGTCAAATTGTGTTGCTTTTGGTTTGTGGGAGATTAAAAACTGGGATTCAACTTTTTTGTAATGGCAGTTGTAAAGTTGTACCATGGTAACTAACGTTACCAATCTACCATGGTTACCCAGTTATAGTTTGCACCGTATACCATAATAAATTAAAATGTTATTTCATTCAAACGTGTTTGAACGAGACAAGCTCGTTCATTCATTCATTTATTTACTTATTTATTTACATTTATTTACACCCCTGGTAACCAGTTTTATTGTAGTAATTACTGCAGCAAGTGGTATTTTTAAACTTTTTTTTATTTTTATTTCTTTTAACATAACTCTGAATACAATAAATAAATAACAAAGAACTGATTAGACAGCAGAGGGAGTAGACAAGGACAATGCATAGTCACCAGAGGTATCACATACAGTTCTTACATCCTTTTTATACAGTTATTTTCATGATAGGGGTTACTTCCTGTGTATTAACCATTTCCACCAATTCTTATAAAATGTATCCATACTTAGTCTTAGAGAAAAGGTCATTTTCTCCATATCCTTTACAATCTCTATCCACTCTTCATTTGTTGGTGGATTCTCATCCAGCCATTTGTGCAATATATGTGCAATAATATACACTATATGTCAATGTGCAATACTATCTCTAGTCACTAAATCACCACAGTTACTCATTCCATTTAAATTGTACTTTTGTATAAACTTACTGTGCATATCAAGGTGAAGGCCAACGTGCAATACTATAAATGGTCACTTTACTCGGATTGCTCAATGTGAATATCAGGACTCAGTCACTTGTTGTATTTACTTGTAAAATTGTACTGTACAGTCTTAAGTATTTATTGTCTGGTTATATGTTTGTTTTTCTAACACCAGTCAGGAGTAGTGCTCCTAATTTCGTTGTATACAGACAAATACAATGACAATAAAGGCGTTCAATTCAATTCAATTCATTTCTTTGTTATTGCTTTTTTATAAGCAACCAATAACAAACTAAAAAAGTTGTCTTGACCTTTAAAATCAGTTGGTATGTTACTGAGCAATTTCTTCAATATAAAACAGTCTGTTAACAATTTAGATACTTTTATTAAGGAACCATTGAAGTGCATACTATTTGTTAACATGGAATTAATTACAATACTATGTGTTCATTTAACTGTTTTATTACAGTATGGTGAATATAAAATTGTTAAACAACATTAAAACATTTCAAACATATTTAAACAAGCACTTCAATACATTCCTCTTATAAAAACTCTTTATAAAAGCATTTATCAAATATTATAAGACTCATATCCATTAAGCACTGTCAAATAGAACATTGCCTGCAAGTTCATAACCTGTAAATTACCAACATGTTCTTAACTTGTTCTCATATACACCAACATGTTCTTACAAACAGAAATATACTTATAATCAACTTGAACATATGTTCAAAACATATAAATAACCATCACACATAGTATATGCATTGATCTAATGCGTTCTGCTCACCTCAAAACAATTCCTTCAATCAAAAACCTGGTCAAAAGACAGAGAGACAAAATCTCAATAATAGTTGGCACAGATCGAGAGGAAGGGCAAAAGATGAACTGTTTAACAATTAAATGATTACAGTTTTAATTAGTGAGAGGGATAACAAGAGTCCCAGTTGTGCTTTATTAAAAATATTTTTTTATATAAATACATATTCTGTTTATTTTGTTTTTATTTATTTATTTGTGTTAAGTTAATTGGAAAGCAGTAATATTTAACCAAAATCTTTGATAGATTTATGTGATGACAACTTTTTGGACATAGAGATTCACATGTCCAGCAGAGGGAGGTAGTAGACAAGGACAATACTTAAAACACTCAATGCAACTCACATAAAAAAAAAAAAATCTGACAAATTTTGAGAAAGGAGACCCAGATGACTAGGTTCTTGATTTACTGCTGCAGTGTGCACTGCGCAATTACAGTTCTACATCCAGTCTGTTTACAGGCTACATTCAGGCTATATAAAGTCCCCAAACCACACAATTTTTGACCTGATGAACTTTCAGCCTGACATTATTTTTTGGTTTAGTAACCTCTCGAACACTGTACAGTCTAACTGGTTAGTTAGTGGAACTCAAGGTAGTTAACAGCAGAGCAATACAAATTATAAACATTTGGTCAGTAATAATAAATTAAAACAATTCAACAAGTAACAGTGATTTAAACAATCTTAAAATGTACATGTAAGTTTAAAAATATCATAATTATAATTAAATAAATGTTTGCATTGAATACACCATTTCCATATGTTCTATCAGCACTGGCTGGTGCTGTTTCAAGTTTCCCCTTTGTCTCTCATATGTTCCTGTTCAACTAAATCCATCTGTCGAATGTTTGTGTACCATGACTGTAAACTATTAACTCCGACCCAGATTGATACGGCCACTTTTTGCAATTCTTCTCACACCTGGAAAAAAGTTTAAGCTTTGCACTATATATATATATATGACAAATAAAAATCCAATGCATTAATTAAAAGAATGCTTTTCCACCTTATTTATAGTTCTCTTATATTATACTGTATATGTTTCAGTGTACATTTAGATGTTAATGTAAAAGGGCTGTTTTAAAGGGACAACGTTTAACATGTTTTATTTTATGTTTGGATCACATGTAATATCTTATTTTTCAGTCATCCTGAGCATTAATAACTTTGCTATCTACAGTTTCTATCTAAAAATGTAAGCTTTACACTTTCAACCTTTTCTTTCACTTCCTAGCTGATAATATCATGGGTGATGGACTTGCATTTCTTTAAGCAAATGTGTTTCTTACTAATTTCAGTGTATTAATAAGAAATACATTTTACAGTGTCACAGCACGTCTAAAAAATTATTTGTTTATTTGACATGTTTATTTAGTTTGATATAAAAACAAGTTTAGATTTGCATGTAAGTTAGCCTCACAACAAGAAATACAGTAAGATTTTTGGAGTTCTGGTTCTAATCATCATAGTTTTGATGTCTGTTTTGCAGATGCATCGAGAGTGAGCCGAAACAACAAAGACTGGTTTGCCTTTGTGAATTAATGTAAAAATGTATGTTACTCTTATTCACCTGCAATATCGACCTTCAGAACACACACTAAAACTGTCAAGATATAATCTGCAATAATATTGTCCACTAAAGCAATAGCCAAAATAAATTAAATGTTGACAACTAAGATCAAGTCACACTGAAGTTGTGAAGGGGTTGGGTTCCATCCTGCCATTTCATTCTTCTCCTACAACAGCTCTTCCTCCGTGCAGACACAAAGTTATGAGGCGCAAGAAGCTGCTCTGCATGCCACACAGCTCAACATTGCTTTGAAGTTTAGAAATTCCAAGAGTTTCCTGTAACAAGGTCAAACTCTAATGTGAACCAGAAGCTGCTATTTCTCTCTCTGCCTCCTCACTCTGTTGGTTAGTGGAGAGTGTGAAGTCTCGATATGCCTCGTCTGTGGATCTTCCTGCTTCTGTTGGCACACTTGATCAACAGCCCAGTGCTTTCAGCAAAAGGAGGCAAGAAAAAGCACCAAGGGAAGAATCAAAGTGGCCCTGCAACTCCCAAGGAGGACATTGGGTCAGATGGGGCTCCCGAGAGTCCATCAGAATCTGACTTCTTGGCTGATTTTGCCGGGAAACACCGCCTGTGGGTGATAACCGCACCATCACACAGTGACAACTATCTGCGTATGATGGAGAAGCAGATCCAGGAGTCTGAAGGACTGAACTGTCGCTTGGCAGAGAGAGACACGCTCATCGTCACTATTATTCAGAATGCCATGATGGAAGGCAAAATCCAACTTACAAACTTGCAAGGAGAAGCCACTGTGGAGGTCATGGACTCTGAAATGGTAAGCAAACTTCTCCATTACCTTGAGCTGGAGGACCATACCTTCTCCATGCTGATTCTGAAGAAGAACATGAGGGTTAGTGAGAGATTTCCTTACCCGGTTCGTGTTGAGGCCATTCTTGAGGTCATCGATCAGCTGCCTGTGCGAAAGTTGGAGAAGGTCGCAAGAAAGGGGTTACCAGTAAAATGCAAGATCACAAAGAAGAGGATAGTGGTGAAGAAACAGGGTTCCAGCAAGCGTAGGACCTTCAGCCCACAGAGGCATGCGAATTCCACGTCCATCTTCCTCACACAGAAGATACGTCTAGACAAAAAGGCAACACTGAGAAACAAAGTACAAGATATTTTGAGCGGATGGTCACGATTTGTCATCCGTAAAACGACAGGTAGCTCAGGCGACGGCAAACCATCAGCTAAAGCAGGTTCAAAATCTGGATCCAGTGGAAATGAGAGACTGAAGCACGACGACCAGAAGAAAACTCCAGATAGTGACAGACACCCAGAGCCGGTAACAGGAGTGAAAAAAGCTTCGGAAGCAGATAAAACACATGCTAGTGCAAAATCTAATTTTGACACCCTCAATGAGGAGTTCAAAGGAGAACAAACCGTTGACCATTCAAGCTCCAAAAAGAAAGGCAACGGAAATGATGGCAAGAAGAAAAAGGGCAAAGGAGGGAGGAGGAAGTCACAACGAGAAGCAGATGATAAGGAAAAGGCAGCTCTCAAAGACTTCATGCAAAACCTCAAAGGGAGAAGAAGACTCCTTGTAAGTTCTTGATTGTTAAGAAGATCCAAAGCCTATTTGCAGCTCTCCTTGGAAGACTGTATCTGATTATTATGGTTTATTTTTTGGCATAGGTGATTTCATCCCCAAGTGATGTCTCAAGTCACTATATCAAACAGAGAGATGATAATGAGCTACGTAGCTGTGACTTTTCTCAAAGAAAGGTCTGTCCATCATGGGTTCAGAACGTAATCCTACGCTACACATTCAACACTACCAACATGGTAATTCAAATGTATAAACACCTGTTTGCACATTTTACAGTAAACAACTTGTGAAAAAATATTTATGAAGCTTATTAGGACTGGGTGTGAATACAGAGTTCCCTCAAAATAGGCATTTGTTCATGAATTGAACCACAATTGCTGCATTGTACTGTACGTTATTGATTCACTTAAAAGAACCAGTTCAAAAGAGTCATTTGTTTGTTAACTGAACCAGACTTTTTGATAGTTTTTGATTCACTAAAAAGATCCAGCTCATGTCATTTGTTCGTGATTGGGTCATATTTGTTTAGCTGTGCAGTCGATATTCAGATTGTTAAAATGAAGAACAATTCATATGAAAATCGTTATTTTTTTTACCCAGCTCTAAAGCTTATGTATTTGTGCTGCACTGAAATGCATGATGCATGATGCTCTTTTTGAAACAGGTTCAGAGCCTCTACAAGCATCCCTGCCAGAAAAGTTCAGAAACCCTGAGTTAATCAGCGAGATCCGCAGAGAATATGGGCTGGACTCCGAAAACTTCTCAATGGCGTTGACTGACTATGACCTGAGGCCTAACGTAAGAACACTTCATTTTCTCCTAATTCACAATGACTTTGAAAGACTACCGAATCAAAGGCATACATCTTGTGGTTTTAGCTTAACAGGGTTTTCAACAAGCCAACAGCTCCTTCTGATTTACTGGATTACATTGACAGCTTTCCATCACGTCGGTCTGAGAAGGAAGAGGAGAGAAAAGCTCCATTACCCTGCTCTAAAGCCGAAACGAACAATAAGGAGGAGAACTCGCTTCTGAGGTAAACACCATGAGTTTCCCAACGCTTTAAACTATGATTACTAATCATTCCAATTGTTCTGATTATTATGTGTGGATTTTCAGGTTTATGTCTAAACGAAGACTTCTGATCATCTCAGCACCCACTGTAGATGACTACTCATTCCACCAGCAGCTTCAGGCGCTCAATGGACAGGAGTGTCAACTGGGTACTGTATGCATCATGTTCTCTGAGCTTTTGTGGATATTTCTTCAAAAAATGAACAGTGATACCCTCTTAAAAATAAAAGGTCTTTATTGGAATCAATGGTTTCTTGAAGAACCTTTAACATCCGCAGAACCTTTCCATTGCAAGAAACATTCTTTATAGTGGAAAAAGTTTCTTTAGATTATTAAAATGTTTTTCACGCTTAGAAAAAAAAAAGTTCCTTAAAAGAACTGTCCACTGAAAAGTTCTTTTGGGAACTCAAATTGGTTCTTCAATGGCATCACTGCGAAACCCCCTTTTTGGAATCTTTATTTTTAAGAGAGTAAATTCATTCTACGTTTGGTAACCAAACTAAAAATTGAATCAACATGTACAGGTATTCGTCATTTTGCCTTCTTGAAGATTGTGGGTACTGGATCGACAGCTTCAGGAACAGTGGAGTTTTTTCCATTGAATGGTGAAATCATAAACTCTTCCTCATTTCTTGCAAGTAAAACATAAAGCTTCAACATCACATATTATAGAATGGTTATGGAATATTTATCATAACCTACAGGAAAATGTCAACCTGAGAAGGAGACGCTCTCGCAGGATGTGGTGGAGAGTCTCAGAAATCAGTTGAAGATAAACCGGGACTACTTCAGCATGCTAGTGGTGGGTAAGGACGGAGACGTAAAGGCCTGGTTCCCATCTCCAATGTGGTCCATGGGAAGCATCTATGACCTTGTGGACTCTATGGAATTGCGTCAACAGGAACAGAAATTACAGCAAACTTTTGGAATTCGCTGTCCAGATGAGAATACCGGTACTTACCATGGTTACACAGAAGAGACAGAGGATGGCTACTTGTACCACATATCTGAGGACTAAAAGTCATCCAAAAAAAGACATTAGACATGCATAAAATGAACATGGCATGCATTTGGACATTTGTCATCCCCATATCATGTGATGCAAAACTTTACCTCTAATAAATAGATCTTGTATGAAATTCATACAGCTATCTTACCTGTTGTTGCTGTGCCCTGTAAAATGTAACTTTCACTTGGTTGTACATGCTACTATTCTTAAATATACCTAAAAGATAATGTGTGCAATTCTTGTTTTTCAAAGCTGTTGACATTAAAGGCTATTTTTCTAAGCTGTAGAAAATGCCTGAGTGTCTTCACTGTCTTTATAAGTAATGAGTTACACTACTGTTCAAAAGTTTGGGGTTGGTTAGATTTTTTTATGTTTTTGCCAAGAAATTTCTTATTAACCAAGGCTACATTAGTTTGATAAAAAAAAAGGTAAAACCAGTAATATTTTAAAATATTATTACAATTTAAAATAGTTTTTTATATATATTTTAAAATGTAATTTATTCCTGTGTTAGAAAAGCTGGGATTTTTAAGCAGCGAATTATTTAGAATTACCTTCAAATTTCATTCTAGTATGCTGATTTGGTGCTCAAAAAAATGTTTTTTATTATGGTGAAATGTTGAAAACATTTGTGCTGCTTAATATTTTTGTGTAAACCATGATACATTTTTTTTTCAGGATTCTTTGATGAATAGAAAGAACAGCATTTATTTGAAATAGAAATCTTTTATAACATTGCAATCAATGTCTTTGTCACTTTTAATGAATTTAATAACAAAATTCATTTCTTTAAAGACAATTTTTACTGACCTCATATTTTTGAAACTTTATATATATATATATATATATATATATATTTTTTTTTTTTTCTTAAAATGTGAATATAACTTGTCAACAATGAGTGTCAAGCTAATTAAGAAAAAAAAATTGAAATGCTTCAGTGTTTTCATATGTGTTCTTATAGTATTTTTCTTATAGTATCATGTTGAGCAGGGAAGCATGTGAGTATAGAAAGAGCAATTGTGCAGTACGGAATACGCAAATAGATTTGATGAGGAGAGCGATAGGGCTTCCTGTGATGACCGTGCAGCGGTCAGATAGGGGAAGTAGACAGGAGTGGGCAGGCATTAACAGTCACAAATAAACTGAAGCGAACAGAAACACATTCATTAGTCCGGTTGTGAGCTACCAGTCCATGTGAACATCTAGGAGAGGATATTTTTTTGGCTCCACCACCATGGTGAGTGCTCTTTCTGGTTTCATCCTTGAATTGTCACATAGTATTGACCGGTGTCTAACTTTATGGCAGTTTTTAGAGATACTGGTTCAGAGAAATTTATGGTATGAAATCAGATGGTTAACTTGTGAAGGTGCAGGAGTTTTTCTGCATAAACTGTCTTTCCTAGCACACTGTGTTAATCTTTCCCTGTTCGTCTACTTATTAACTCATGTTACTTTTCACCTAAAATATTTCTATTGGTCATGTATGTGCTCGTAATTTCCATTATCATAGGGTTTGTTTGGTGGATTGATAAGTAAAAGATACACAGAAAATAACATGCTATGAAATTAAATGCTGTGTTTCCTACAAAATTTCACAGCAACTTTCAAACACAATTCACATTTTAAAAATACAGTTCATCTGGGGAACGTTTAGGGGATTTTATCATGTGTTTTTGCAAAATTAGATTGTGTAAAAAAAGATTGTGTAATGTTTGGCCAGTTTTTGCTTCACCGACACAACTCGGTTCCTCTTCATCTGAAAACACACTTAAGTTTCTCTTGAATTCTTCTGTCATCTGGTTTTATTGGCTAGATGCACCTTACCTTCAATGAATCGCTCTTTTTAACCATAGCTAGAATGTGTCACAGACCGGTTTAATTTTATATCTGGTTTTGTTCTTTGTGGTCACAGCAAACCATTCAGATTCAGCTCCATAATACCACGTCAACAAAGTGAAACTAGGACACCTGTTTCAGATTGCATCAGTCACAATGTGGGATCTCCCAAATCACCTTCTCATGGTCATCTAAGGTTCTCCATAACCATCTGAGAAACACACACTGACCATCCATTGGCTCTTTGTTAAGCACGTGTTAACACATGCCAGGGCTCATATTCAAAACACACATTACACAAATCATCTATCCAAAGAATGGAACTATGGACTTTTTGTGAGGCTGCTTTGCATGTCGGGAGCCTTGAACAGTACAGCTGTTGTTAGTAGTAACGGCCATAACTAAATAAATAAATACAAATGGATTCCGTATTTATCTCGGTAGATATTAGAACTCATTTACAAACACAACACTTATTTTGACAATTAATTGAATTACATTTACCTCTGACTCTGGGTCTTCACTTCATTTGAGCTCAGCTGATTTTTCCACGACAGCCGTTTGATGTCAGTTGTACATTACTGAACCTGATGCCATGTCTGAGATTACACAGACATGCTCTTTGTGTGATCTCACTGCATTAGATAACAAACGATCAATCCAAGTGGCATCTGCAAACAAAATGACGTCAATGAAGGTTTTGGTGCAAATTCACACAGGTGTAGTTCATCACATCAACTATGGACATGTTCGACTAACGTTTGCAACTAGAAAGTCTAGCAGTCACGGTCACATTATAATTTAACCATGCAAAATAACTTCAGATCCTGCAACAGAGTCTGAAATTAACCCAAAAAATGATAGATTTTGTGCCTATCTTCTCCCCAGCATGGGACACTGGGGTTAAACAATTAATCCGAAAGACCATAATAAATAAATAAATACAGGTGCATCTCAATAGATTAGAATATCATGGAAAAGTTCATTTATTTCAGTAATTCAACTCAAACTGTGAAACTCGTGTATTAAATAAATTCAATGCACACAGACTGGAGTAGTTTAAGTCTTTGGTTCTTTTAATTGTGATGATTTTGGCTCACATTTAACAAAAACCCACCAATTCACTATCTCAACAAATTAGAATACTTCATAAGTATAATAAAAAATAAAAAATAAAAAAACAATAAAAAAAACATTTTTAGTGAATTGTTGGCCTTCTGGAAAGTATGTTCATTTACTGTACATGTACTCAATACTTGGTAGGGGCTCCTTTTGCTTTAATTACTGCCTCAATTCGGCGTGGCATGGAGGTGATCAGTTTGTGGCACTGCTGAGGTGGTATGGAAGCCCAGGTTTCTTT